TCGAAGGAAACGGGCAAATATTTGCTTCGATGTGCTTCTTCTTGAACAATTTTTGTTGGATTTGGCTGTCTTGGAAGACCATTACAGTTGACTGCTATTTTGTTTCCCAGTCATATGCATAGATGCATGATTCGTCACCTGTGTAGGTGTTATACAAAGCCTTTGATGCATCTTGAAAGCATTTTTCCAACAATTTTCTTGCACCAATCGACATGAATTTTCTTTTGAGTGTTTGCCAGATTATGCGGGATCCAACGCGGTGCTACTTTGGTAGACGGTAGCACAGATTTTGGCTTTTTTTTTTTTTTTCTCTTTGGCGAGCGATAGTACTTATGGTAAACCCATTGCTGGACAAGTTATTTATGGTAACCGATACTTTGTTATTATTTTATTTAAAAAATAATGCGTTTTATTATGCATATATTCCGTGTTTTAAATATTATCTACGGCTTCTAAATATTAAAAATCAATTTAATTTTGCATTTTGATTTGAAATAAAAATTTTATTGTTTATAGTTTGTATAATGTATGTTGTGGATGATGTAATCAATGACGTCACCTTGCTTTAAATGTAATTAGTTTTAATATCTGTAAATTTAATCTAATGTTTTAAACATTGTTTATGGCTGTTAAATATTAAAATACAATTTAGTTTTGCAATTTTTTTAAAATGAAATTATTATGTATGATTATTTAAATAATTTTAATTCTAGGCATAATGTAATCAGAGCCCTGATTGGTTACAGAATATTTGTGCATTAACAAACTGTAATCAGCTTCCTGATTGTGAATATTTGTACATTACCGCACCATTTTAAAATTTTATTATTCATTTCTTTGAATTCCTTAGATTTAGTAGTGAACATATATGTCCCTTTCAAAGATTAATGTTGTTATTGTTAAGTACCAAGAATTATTGGTATCGGAATCAAAAAATTGTCCTTTGAGACCTTATTTTGGCCAACCTGGCTTTCCTAATCAAAGGTTATTTATAAATTGTTAGAAGGCTCAGAGGAAATTTATTTTAAATTGTTGGAGGAAACCTCGCTAATTGCTTCTTCAGTGAAGTGCGAGAAATGTGGATCACATATAAAGATCATAAAAGAGCCGATTCTGAGAACGGCCGTATATGGTATTGTGGTCACGGTGGAAGAAATAACCACTGTAACGGTAAAAAAAAGTATTAGACATTCCTCCTTTTTTATCGGCAATAAACTAATTGCTGTCATTTTAGCTCTAGTGTACGAAACGTTCTTATTTACTTAGTTTCAAAGTATTTGAATTTAAGTAATATTTTAATTCTTTTAAAGTTGGTATGATGGTTTTTAATTCGATATTCAATTTAAGTAATATTTTAATCCAATTAACGTTGGTGCAATGTTTTTATAGCGGTGTTTTTATTCTATTTCTGTGCTATATAAAAGTAATAATTCAACCTTACTTTAGTATTTTATACTCGTAGTAAATGTATTTATTTACATTTGCCTGTCATTTTAATAATCAACGTTTTCAACAAAAAATTAATCCGTTATTTTTAACAATATTTATATTTTTAAAGTTTCGAACTATGCGTAAAATAACAAAAAAACAGCGTTTTTCAAGATGGCTGACGATTGTAAAAACCGTGCCAAAGTAAATCGCCAAAAATCCATGCAACCATCCACCAAAATAGACGGTTGTAGACATACCAGGGGCCTTAATGAATTTGACCTGAACAAACATCATACTATTTAGAAACCAACACAGTATATAAAGTCTGCTGGATGCATGGAATTTGTAGATTCATGAAGTTTTCTCCATACAAAGATCTTTCCATCTGCCTGAAACCGTTGAAAACGCAACTAACCCGAGTAGGCATCTCGCTTTAAATTTTGAAATTCCTGGTGTTTGATTTCCAAAACACAAGCGATGTGTTATAGTTCTCTGTAGTCTATTTCTCGGTTGGATTTTGGCTTCTAAAGTCCAAATAATAAGAAAAACATTCCATAAGTCATATGCTATATAAAGCGTCGATAGATAATATCATCAACAAGAAAGGAAAAAAACGTCAAATTGGAGCCTCAAGTAGGACAAAAATTCTAAACAAGTATCCAAGTAAAAAACGGACATCTTCGACTATTGCAAAGGTACGTTGTTTAATGTTAAAAAGAAATCCCCCTAGTCAAAGGACAGTTGCAAAATCATTAAAATGCTCGGTGTCCACTGTAAGCAAAATGATAAAAGTTGATTTAAATCTTAAGAAAGCGATAAAACGCAATGTGCATCGTCTTCTTCCAAAGCATATCGTTCAACGCAGGACACGCTGCAGAATTCTATATGAGAAAGACTTATCCAAAGAAAAAAGGAAAACAATTGTCGCAATAGCACCTCCAATGCAAAGAAATCTTTATTACGGCCAAATGTTCTTGCAATATCTTGTTGATGCTCATAATACTAATGCCCAAAGATGCCTCAATCTCACGGTATATCACATGACGATCTTGCTCTATCAGTTCACGCACAGAATGGAAATTTCTGGCACATCCAATTTTGGATAACCTTCACGGAATTCATCCTGGCGTGAACGTCGACCACGATTGAATTCCTTATACAGTACAAAGTCTTTAATCCGGAATGATCTACACTGGTGTGCAAAAATTAAGGACGAGACGGTTTTTTTCAATATAACTTTGTACAAAAGCTTTCCAAATCAACACATTTAATACCGTAAGATCCCCAATACATAAGGACATGAGTAATGTAAGCAACACTTACTAAAAGAGAAATCAGAGGGATAAAAAGAAGCTTTATTGAAAAAGTAGCATGGAGCGCAATGCGACTGAAGGCCGAAACATCCCTGTGATGGATTTTAAAAAGATCAGTCAGGGGAGATCATATCCCCTATTAAAGACCAGCAAGAAACATCTGGTCTTTAATAGGGGATATGATCTTCCCTGACTGCTAGGCAGGTTTCCCAGCATTTGCCCATACTGAGAATGAGGGTGTCAATGAGTTGTTGAGGTACTGCTGCCCATTCGTCTTGCAGCGCCAATCGAAGCTCAGGAATCATTACTGGTGGTAAGGTATGAGCTGCCAAGCGTCTGCCTAGAAAATCCCATACATGCTCGATGGGATTGAGATCCGGAGATCGTGCTGGCCAATCCATACGTTCAATATCCTCACTCTCTAAGAGCTGTTCGGCAGCTACTGTGCGATGACATGGTGCATTGTCATCCATGAAAAGGAACTGCGGACCCATAGCGCCTCTAAAAAGATGCACATATGGAAGAAGAATCTCGTTACAATAATGGGTCCCGTTGACTGAACCTGCGTTGAAGATGTGAAGGTCTGTACGACTACCAAGCATGATGCCTCCCCAAACGAGAACACCGCCACCTCCATACCTGTCCCTTTCAATGATGTTTGAGGGATGATTACGGCTTCCCCGCTCTCTCCAGATGAGTATGCGATGAGAATTGCTACTCAGTCTGAATCTGCTCTCATCTGTAAAGAGTACTCGTCCCCATTCATTGTCTCTCCAATTCCGGTGTTCCCGGCACCACAGAGAACGCCTTCTCCGAACGGGCAGTCGTTAGAGGTACACACCGTACAGGGCGTCATGCAAACAGACCACCACCGTGCAGTCTTCTTGGCCACGGTAAAACGCGATATCGGTCGTCCAGTCGCCTGTGTCTTGTGTCTAGCGATTTCTCCCTCTGTCTGCCGCCTGTTTCTTCTGGCCTGTAAGGCAATATATCGGTCATCTGTGGGTGTGGTTCCTCGTGGACGATCACTACTAAACCCCCGGATAGCTGTTCCTGTAGTTTGAAATTGTCTCCAAAGTCGTGAAACGATGCTGTGAGCAATTCCGAACTCTGCAGCCACACTTGTCACACTGCGGCCTTCCTCCAACTTCCTAATTATTCGACCTCGGGTAAAAGCATCCAGATGTCGTCTAATAGATTGATTATTCACCATTTCTCGCTGAGGCAGCAACTCGGTGTGATTTTAACTGCTATACGGCGTGCAATCTCTTTGCCAGAAATACTGATCTTACACCGACAACATGCTTTATACTACTCAGACACTCCCCCATTATGTCTACCTGCATATCTGCGCATGTACATCACCTTACTTAATCTCCTGATTGGTCTTTCTGTCCGCTCTGCCTCTTCGTTCAGCTGATATGCTAATTTTTTGACTTCGTCCTTAATTTTTGCACACCAATGTATAATCCGGACCTCAAAGCTATAAACTTTCTGCGCATAATGCGTTTACGCATGGTAATTTAATTTTTCCTATCAGTGTATACAGAGCAATGTCCTGATGCTTCCCTTGTGGTCTTATGTTGATCAAAAATACAATTGTGCAATGGTTGGTAAGAGTTATAGGACTATCACAAAAATGGGTAAGACTTTTTAAAATTGGATAATATTTCACAGTTTGCACAAATATCGAAGTTAATGCATATTCAATTTTTTCCCCCATAAATACTTTTGTTACAAATTAAATTCTTGTAAGAATTCTTTGATTAATTGACAGAAACAAATTTTTATCTTGTAATGTCTGTTTAAAACATTAATAGATCTTTGATTAATTGACAGAAACAAATTTTTATCATGTAATGAAAAAGTCTGTTTAAAACATTAATAGGAGTTTCTGTGCACCTCTTTAGAATCTCATAAAAATTTCAAAAAATTTTATTGCAAGAATAATTGGCATGATTTAAAATGTAGAGGATGTTAATCAAGTTTTCATTTCTCCATAGTGGTTACAGTTCCAATAAACCTGGATTACAGAGGTTTGATTGCATGCATTAGTTGAAAACCACTGTACCCCCCTCCTATTATAATGTGAGAAAATCATTCTCATTTTTTAACAATATTTCTAACGTATTTCCTTCTAAATATTATGTTCTCTTATTTAATGTACCTACCATTCATAAGCAATTTTTCAAGTAATAGCAGGTAGTTCCATATTTATTTTTCAAGGCAATGCTAAAAATTGACTTACAGAAGCAATATGATGTTTTAATTAATTTATTCTTTCTACAGTACATATACAATCACAAGTGTTTGTAAACTTTAAAAAAAGATAGATAAAAGCTCTTGAATGCTTTTTTACAACATAAAATGTTTCACCAGGCAAAGGAATGTAAAAAATGAGTCATTAAATACATTCGAAATTAAATGAAATATGAAAATTTAAAAAAGTCCTATAATGGTTAGGAAAACAATTCATTGAAGAAAACTTGCACAGTATTTCACTGACACTTTCCTAGCATTTCATTCACTTTTTAATCACTTCATTAATTTCCAATATTATCAGAACTTTTGTTGAGTATTTCAATGGCATCTGTAAGTTCCGCAATATGAAGACATTTCATTAAAGTGTCGCAATAGTTATCATATTTTCTCTGAAAATTATAAATAAAATCATATATGAGCAACAAGAATATAGTAAATAAAGCAGCAATGTCACCAAATCCATTGATAAACATTCACTGCAGAATAATGAGAGTTTATACCCAGGCAGCATGCATTCGTAAATTGCACGAGAAAAATATGTGCAATTTACGAATGGCCTTTCGTATAAAAAAACGTTCAAGTTAAACGTAAAAATATCATAAAAAGTGTCCAGTGGCAATTAGTAAATATTTACGTATATTTTTACGTTATACTATACGTAACTTTTACGTAAAATTTAGGTATATTTACGCGAGAGACTGCTGTTCATTCGCAACTTTTACGTATAATATACGTAAATTTCAGGGATTTACGTATATATAATATACGTAAATTTCAGGGATTTACGTATATTTATCGCATATACGTAAATCTCAATTTTTTGCTTCACGTATGTACTTAGTAAAAATTTACGTAAATTTCCCCGATTTTTTACTGTATATAAACGTATATATTAAGTAAAAATTAAAATATATATTAGGTAAAAATTAAGGTAGATATTCCCCGTATTTTACGGTACAAAAACGTATATATTTGATACAAATTAACGTATATATATTTCCCGTATTTTACGGTACAAAAAAACGTATATATATTTGATAGTAATTGACCTAAATCTTCCCTGTTTTCTTTGCATATGCGAATGACTGGTAAAAATTTAATCCGATTGTCTTCCTCCAATTTACTGTGTATAAATGCACATTTTTTTGGTAATAAAAATTTGCATAAATCCCCAGTTATTTTTCACTGCATTTTTCGTAAAATGTACTTATTTTTAATCTCCTGTTTTTTTTATATAAATCTATGCAAAAACTTTCTGCATACTATGATTAAAAGGTAAAATCATTTTTATATCAAATTCTTACATATCTGCCTTTTATTTATGTACAGCAATATGGAATATATATAACTGGAAAATTTAAATGCACTGGTAAATGCAAAAAAAAAAAAAAAATTCTGTTCAAAAATTACGTAAGACTTAAAGGCTGAAAATCACTTTTAATATTTCATTTCAAAGTGACTACAAAATGTGCAATAAATTTCGTAAACATCAATTCTATGTTTTAAATCAATTAATGCTATCGTTCATTTGCATTTTTATTTACTAAATTCATTTCATAAATTTAAACTTGGTAAACATCTGCAGCAAACAGTTGTTTACTAAATTCATTTTTGCTAAATAACACTTTAACAGGGTTCGTAGCCACATTTTAGTTAAAAAAATAAGCACCTATAAGCACTTTTCAAGCACATTTAAGGAAAAAATAAGCACCTGTCTAATTACATTATACACAACTGCATAACCTTAAAAGAAAAATTAGACTTGTAGTTTAAAATATGAGCAATACAATTTGCATTGTGTAATATTTTATTAAGAGAATGAGCATTACCTCAACCATGGAAAACAATGAACTTTTTTTTTTTTTTTTTTTTTTTTTTTTTTTTTTTTTAAATGCCAGTTCAATTTACAGATTTACTTTACAATGAAAGGGAAAAAAAACTATGCAGAGCTAAATTATATTACAAGATTTAATGATGAAATTTCAGTTCAAAATATAGAAAATAAATAATAATAAGCCATATTTAATTATATTTCGCTTGGGTCACCTAAATAATAAATACAATTTATTTTTCCACTCATATTCAATATTTAAATAATTTAACTTTAATCAAAATTCTGAGTACATTTTCTAAAATTTTCATTTGCATAACAGTTTTCCCTTAACATATATTCCAAGCAAAAGTGATTTAAGTAAAAATAAGCAAAAAAATGGCACATTTCTGAAATCAGAAGACGGGAAATTGTTTCATGCAGTCATCCTTTAACAGTAAAAGCTTAACTAGCCCACATACTTGGAAATTGGCCGAATATTCCGACAGTGGTGAGCGTAACTTGGAAAAAGAGGAGCGGAGGGGAGGGATAGACTGTAGGCCGTTCTTTAGATTTTCTCCGGCTAAATAAATGATTTTGACATTTCGATCGATATGTGCAACATATAAAAATAAACCAACGGAACTGAAGAAATATTCTGCTTAAGCAAAGAACAGTAAAACTCTTTTAAGTGTTCATAAAATAAATCTCAGCACTGAAACATCAAAATTAATTATCTCTGCAAAATACCGCTAAACTGTTATTGCTGCATACGTGCGCGTAATTCCTCCACATGTGATATTACGCACAATCGGAATCAACAGCTGCCGGTATTCGGAGAATAAAGAACTAAATAAAGGAAAAGAAAGAGACTTACTAATCTGGGGTGTTTCTTATTCTAATTTTCAACAGACTGCGTTAAATTTCCGAAATAGAATCACTCTTCGCTTGGGTTAGGTAGACTGCAAAAACTTTTAGTCCTATTCAATCCAGATTGGACAGTGACAAAAAAAAAGTCCGCTGCCTCAATATTACTGATTTTACGGAATATTCACTTGGGTTGGGTAGACCGCAAAAACTTTTAGTCCTATTCAATCCAGATTGGACAGTGACAAAAAATAAATAAAATAAAAAAATAAAATTCACTGCTTCAATATTAAGAGATTTTGCGGAGAAAGGGGAAGAACCTCCCAACCTCCGTACTATTTAATGTATGGCAGTGGAAAAAAGAAAAAAAAAATTATTTTCACTATTCGATTACTTTCCTTTTTTAAGCCCATTCCGAATATTATTCCTTCAGAAAGCTAATCCGTGTAAAAATACACCTATTTTCGGAAGTTTATCTACACTTCAGCAGCCACTGCAACTATATTATTATAAATATTCATACATATATATATATAATATAAGCATAACGATCATAATAAACACGAATATGAACTGACCACACGGAACGAGAACGCAAATTATTAAAATCTTGATAGAAATTCAAACATGTGTAGTATTGGGTGGGAGGAAAAGAATACCGAATGTACCGGAATTTTCTACCGTTTTCGCAATTCTTTGACCAATAGAACGACGTGCACCTGTCTGTACTCTTGCGCGCCATAGATTACGTTATGCAGAAAGGGGGGGGGACAGCAATTTCCGGGAGTATGATTCACCATCTGACATTACATATAAGGAAGAAAAGTTGTTTATTTAATGTACCGAAATTTTCTACCGTTTTCGCAATTCTTTGACCAATAGAACGACGTGCAGCTGTCTGTACTCTCGCTCGCCATAGGTTACGTTAATGCAGAGAAAGGGGGGAACAGCAATTTCCAGGAGTATGATTGACCATCGGACGTTGTATATAAGGAAGAAAAGTTGTTTATTTAGTGGCTTTGGTACAGGGAAAAAATGAGCATTCATTGAAAAAAAGGATTAAAAAAAAAGCACTAAAAGCAAAAAATAAGCACTAAAAACAAAAAATAAAGGCTTTAAAGAAAAAGTAAGCACTTATAAGGGCCTTTATATTTTATTTTCAAATATAAGGACTTATAAGCACTTGTAAGGACCGCTACGAACCCTGTTTAAATAAATTATTTGCTTTTCCGAAGGACATTTTCTTATGCCATGTAAATGCACGATAGCATTAATTGACTTAAAACATAGAACTCAAGTTTACAAAATTTATTGCATATTTTGTAGTCACTTTGAAATGAAATATTAAAAGTGATGTTCAGCCTTTAAGTGTTAAGAAATTTTTGAATAGAAATTAATTTTTTTTTGCATTTAGATTTTCCAGTTATAAATATTCCATTTTGCTGTACATACCTAAAAGGTGGATATGTAAAAATTTGATATCAAATTAATATTTTATCTTTTAATCATAATATGCAGAACATTTTTGCATAGATTTATATGAAAAATATGAGATTAAAATAAGCACATTTTACGAAAAATGCAGTAAATAGGTAATTGGAGATTTATGCAAATTTTTTACCAAAAATGTGCACTTATACACAGTAAAGAGAAGACATTGGACTAACCAAATCACCAAAGGTTTTACCAAAGTCATTCGTATATGCAAAGAAAACATAGGGAAGATTTAGGTCAAATTATTATCAAATATATAAGTTTTTTGTACCGTAAAATACAGGGAATATCTATGTTAATTTCTATCTAAAGTACAATATAGTTAATTAACCAAATTCAGTAAACGAATGTAGCACAAAAGAAAACATCATACGTTTAGATTATTTGAATGAGTGTGCTAAATTTTAAAATTGTTAAATATAGACCAGGAGGAAATTGTAGAAAACTTACCTTTTCCAATAGTTTACCGAAGTTGACTTTGTTATTTTCCTTGAAGATGAATGTTTAATGTCACAAATATTGCATTCATATCTTCAGATAATACAAATATATACATATTTATTAAAATTTAGTTTATCCAAAACATGTTAAAGAAAATATTAATTTGCATGCAAGTTAATCGAGTAACTTCTGTTTTAATTACACACATAATTATGATATGTAAAAATTTTACATTTATCAGTCAATCTTGCAATGTATTGTAATCTATTATTGTTGTCTTTCTCAGTTTAAAATCTTATAAATATATTAGATCAGTACTAAAAGTTCACCTCTACAAAAGAAATGCTTTATCGAGGCATTTTTAAAAAGTTCCCTTTTACAATGTAACTGTTAATTTCATAAAATTATGCAAATTCAAAATTACCTAAATATGTTCTTTATTTTATCTTATATACCAGATAAAATTTTAAAAAGTTAATTTGTTTAGGAATATTGAAGTTTTTAAATATTTATCTCATGTGACTTTTTCTATAACATCATTATAAATGTACATGTTGATGTGGACATACCAATTATTTTTTTTCATCAAATAGCTTTATGGTATTAAATGATTTAAAAAGGAGGCAACTGGACAAAAGAAAGCAATTAGAAGTTGGCTAATTTTTTATTAATTTGTTGTCAAATGCTGTGCATTTTAGATTATGCTCATATGATGACAATGAGTTATTTAAATTATAAAATTATTATATTATTATGAACATATCCCACATAAATTAACAAGTATCAAATTTCAAGTTGTTTGAAGTATTATGAACTGTAATACTTGCAAAAGAAATACACATGAAATTAATTTAAGAATTAGGTTTATTTTACAGGTATTCGAAAACTGCAATTACTGTTAAACAATAAAAACTAACATTAAATCTGAAGAGCATAATTTTTTTCAATAATAAAATTCAACATAGATTTCATTCAGCTTCGCCATATTTGTTCTATAGTTCGCTGTCTTTAATATCCTGCTCGATTTTTGTAAAAGTGAATTCTTTGTCACCCAATGTTTTGAGAACAGCTCCTAAACAAGAAAAAGAAAAATTTGTAATAATTTCACACTTCAGATGTTTTCAGTTTTTAAATATAGTTGAAGTATTAAAAGATGCATATAAAATGCACTGAGTATTTCATATTTAAAAATTTACATTTCAGTAATTAAAAATTTAAGTTCATACTATCACACAGTAAACTTCAATTATATACCTTACACAATGCCTATAATTTCAAGTAAAAAATACCTAAAGATTTGTTTAGAACTGCAAGGTTAAGAAAGTCTTTAATGGCTATGTTTGTATTTAAGTACACGAGAAAAACTTAATTTTATTAATTTGTATTAATTATATTGCATTAGCCTTTTCCAATTTTACTCCTACATATAGTAAAGAATATTCGCTTTCTTACAGATAACTTTTTCTTAAATAAAGAGTAAGCAGAAAACTAATCAGAACACTAGATACATAAACAGAATACTTCATAAACATATGTATATGCATTACACATTCCAATAAACCAGAAACCAATACACAATCAAAAGTATTATCAGTAAATTCCTCCAAAATCAGAACACAAATCTTTAATTATGATAACAATGGCATCTCAGTTTACAATATCAAATATTTCAAGTCTACATTCATGTGCATTCTAAGCAAACAGAAAGCTGAATAACAATAAAATTATAAATACCATAAAAAAGTTAAAAGCCACGTAGAATGATAGCAAGACTAAATGAAGTCTTCCTTCAAAAATCAATTTAAATTCAAAAATTTGCCTTCCTGTTTAACATCTCAAAATAGGGTTACTGCTTTCACTAACTAAATTTCCTGTCTTGGCAAAATAAAAATTGTCACTTCTGTTGCAGGAAATATTTGCTGCAAACTTTGTATGCAAATAATCCAGTGAAAAAAATTTAATTGTGGCTTGAATATTTTCTTTATTAAATAAATGAAAAATTCCCACATAATATTAATTTATGATCCACATGAAGCTTTTTACCTCTACCATATCATGCAGCTATTTTAAAATATATACTCTCATATAAAAGCCACAGAATTTTTTTACCAATATTAATATAGTATAAATCATTAATAAATCTTCTAAAAACAGCCCAAAAATTTCTGAATTTGATACCCAAAACATAATTCTACGTAACTGTTAATGTATGCATTTGCTTGCACATACTTAAAATGAATTATACACACAAAAACTTAACATATTAACTTTAATAAATTCTTAATTAGCAGGATGACTCAATTAAGGCAAAATATGAAAGAAATCTACCTGATGGAATAGTTGTAAAAGATATATTTAAAAAAAGCTAATACTGTTTACCTTACACATGGCAGAAAATTTGAGTAAACTGTATGCAGCTGGATTATTTATTAGGAATAGAAGTTAGATCAAAGTACCAGTTCTGGAAGGCTTTAACCATTTGGGTGCAAAGAAGCATCTCAATTTAAAAAAAAAGAATAATTTAAAAAGCTAATAGAATTTTATAACTTTTACAATCTAGTACAAATATTAGACACATAAACAACACTAAATGCCATTATTTACTTGCATATTTTCCTTCTTTGTGTACTTTACTCCTTAATTTTTCAGGATATGATTTAGAAACAGAGTTAAAAATGTATACTGGTAAAAAAAAATATTGCTGAAACTGATAAGTCCTTTGAATTATATACTATAGTGCAAAGAGGGATGGAATATGTGACTACATATGATAAATCAGATTACAATAACATGAAAAACTGAAAAAAGAAATTTTATTTGAAATTATTTTTTAACTCATGGAAAGACAGACAGTATTTCCAACTTATTAAATTCAATTACATCTTACCTTTGTCAAACCAATATTGGTACTTTTCCATTTTGCCGGTGCAAGCGATAAAGTCGCCCAAAATGGTACAACCGATGCCAAACAGAATATCCTTGCTGGTAACCTTTTACGTTTCATTTTCAAAACACGTTGCAGCTATTTCTATCATACTGAATGTTTCTTTCAATACTGGGATACAATTACATAGAATTTTTACCATATAGTTCAATTTTATGTCCTAAGGCCATTCGCGGTAATTAAATGAATTAGGATGCAATACGCTCACCTGAAAATATAGAAAAGGCAAAATCAAGGGTTAAATTCATCAATTCTAATGAGAATGCACTAGCGAAGTAAAGCACTGCGGTTTTACATAATTTCTGAGTAAGCTATTCATACGAAATGAAATAATTCTTGCATTTAAACTTGTATTCCAAATTAAGATTTAACTTGAAATTAATGTAGATAATTACTGAGAGAATTAGCGTAGTTTAACATGAGATGAGATCACTTGGGGTCACGTGATATGAAACGGCGAATCAGAATGTTGTACCATGAAAGCATAGTAAATTCTTAAATTAATCTCTTGTCTTTATTTATTATCATTTTACAAAATTTTAAACGATATTAAAATGTTTATGCCTTTAAAATAAAAATTTCTTAGAACTAACATTTGTTAACATTTTTTATGTGTATACTGTGTGTTGTCGCCAATAAAGTCTGCTTGACAAGATTTGCGCCGGCGAAACGGAAAAGTACCCTGATATTTTGAATTTTTTTTATAATTTTCATAAATTTACTATTTTAGGGAGGCTCGGTAGCACAGTGGCTAGTGTATCACGCAGCAGCAGCACCAGAGGTCCGGCGTTTGATTCCCAGGCCTGGGCAAGGTTGAAAGTAGCCTTTCATCCCTTAAGTGGGTCGATAAAATTAGTACCAAGTTCCATTGGGGACTTAATACCGGGGGGCCTGCAACAAGCTGACCACTTATGCACAAACACCACAGAGCTCACCATCTAGAAAGTAGATATCAAGGCATTGCCAGCCATGGCTCTCTAAGGGCTGTTTGTGCCATCCAGTTTAGTTTTAAGTTTTACTATTTTAGTAACATAAAAATACATCTGTAACAGGTTTGGTTTAGGTTTATTTGATTACTGCAAAGCACAATAGGGCTATCTGCCTAAGGTGAGGAATGCCTTCGTGAAGGACTTTCTAAGGGAAACTGGCTCGTATACATGTTACACATGGGGAAAACCACGGAAACGGCCATGCAGCCAGACCGTTCGCGGGATTCGAACGTCGAACCGAACTACCAGTGTTCAGCGACTTTACCGCTGGGCCGTTGGCGAGCCTTCTATTACACAGGACCTGTGTGTGCAGGATCACCTTCGAAATTAAGAGAGTTGTATTTAAAATCGGTGCTAAACTAAAGCTGCTTTCTTGCCTAATTTTATACTATTGAAAATACCGGTAATTGTCAAAATTATTCGTATTCAATATGTGTAAGATTATTAATGAGCTGCCAAACGCAGTTAACCACCAGTTACCATAATATACTACATTCAACGTTATTATTTTTCTTTTTGAATGTCAGGTTTTCATTATTTCTGCCAATATATCTGTAACAGGACATAAAGATTGAGTTAATGTAGAATAGAAAATTACCTTGCAACATATCCAATACGACTTAGTGGCAGTACTTCATTCTCTAGAAAAAACATTTTAAATTATTATACTTAAACAAAAAATTCATATTTGTTACAGCAAAACATCATTAACACAATAAACCAGAGTTGAATGCAAATCTAGTTTAACTCCATTCTTGAAAACTAGTTTATTACTTTCAATTTAATTTAAAAATAATATAAAAGGTACGTATTATGATGACTACCTAGATATCTCGCCTAAACTGGCAATCCTTGTAGGTTATACAGGTTAACCCTAACATAGGTTATAGAGGGCACTAAGATAGAGAGTATTAATCCCACACTAGGGACTCTAACATTTGGTGGGAACAGTTTGAAAAGTGAAACAGTATATTTATAGTGAACCAACGCAAAACAAAAACAATAGTCCTTTAGGGACAAAGCCCCTTTGGACTAATAAATAAATTAACAGCTTTTAGCTATTTTTTCTTCTTGTAAAAAATAGACATACAGAATATTTTTAGAAAATAACAGTACTTTAAGCATGCATTTTCCACATATTTAACACAATAATTCATTCTAGCTCTGTTGCAATACTGGCAAAGGTACTCCTCTGTTATTAGGACGGGATTCAGAAATGTACAATGAAACCTCGAGATACGAGGAAAGTATGAGCAAAATACGAGCATTGACTCGAGTAACGAGCAATGAGCCAGGCTGTTGGTATGGGTGGCGCCATTTCCCTATCCGGCTCAACTCGGGGAATCCCCTCGTCAGATCACTCAGTGTTCTTTTATATACGTGTTTGTGCACTTGTAAGTTAATTGTTTTGACATTTAACGTGAAAATAATTATTTCAAGATGCCTCGCAAGAAGATTGTTGCCTCAGATAGTGCTGCAAAGAAAAATAAGGAGGCCATGGCCGTCGATATCAAGAAAGAAATCATAGATAAACATAAGCATGGTGACGGAATTGGCGAAGACTTGCGGCCTTTCAACATCGAAAATCTATACTATTCTGAAGAAGAAGAAACAGGAAGAAATTAAGAAACCTGATGTAGCCAAAGGAATTATCGTTGCTTCCAAGCACCATAAAAGTACTCCTAGATGTTGAGAAGCTGTTGTTGGTGTGGATTAATGAGAAGGAGTTAAAATGTTGGTAACAAAGTTAAACTATGGTTATATTATTTACCAGTGTTATTTATTAGGAAAAATTGACTTGATATTAAAATGTTGATATTTTTTGGGGTGTGGAACGGGTTAACTGAATTTCCATTATTTTCAATGGGGAAGCTTGTTTCTAGATACGAGAAATTCGCTATACCAGTTGAATGCTGGAACGAATTAAACTCGTATCTCAAGGTTCCACTGTAGATATGTAAGCATGTGTATATGCATGTATGCGCATATATGTGTAAGTATACACATACATACATAAAGAATATACACATGCACACACGAGCACCTACATTTAAAAATGCATGCATATAAACACACATTTCTGAATCTGGTCCTGATAACAGAAGAATACCTACATGAATCATAGGATTTACATTAATCAGTTTTATTAGAATTCTTAAATGCAGAGGATTTACATTAATCAGTTTTATTAAAATTCTTAAATGAAATCTTCACTATCCGAAAATTCAGTTTCATTTCCAGCTGAAACTATATCAGGACAATCTCATTTATATTATTTCCCTCTAACAACTGAACATTTTTAAAACCTTTTCTATTCCATGGAAAACTAATGCTACATTAAACATATATTTTCTAAATCTGAAAATTTTAAGTTAGCTTAGAAACTGTAATCATTCTTAAAAAAGTTTGATTTATGCAGATGTTAGATCAATAAAATTACTTTCCTGTGAAAAAGTAATATGGCATTGAACAACATGATTTTACACATCAAGATATACTGAGTGAAAATTCCTGAAATGTTTTATTTCTTGGTATCTCTGCAAGAATTGTATAAATAAGACTACCTCCCTTTTAAAAAAAAAAAAAAAAAATGTTTAGTAAATACTATGAAGAAAAATTGGTTACATTATTTACAGTTCATAATTAATAGAAAATAAATCATTTCTTAGCTTATCAGAATTTATTTTTATCACATTCATAAACAGTACTAATTTAAACAAACATACCATTATGATTTCAATAACTATGAAATAGAAAATCCAAATCTGCATCTTTGATGGTCTAGTAGATTGGACGTCGTTTACTACAATTCAGCAGGGTGCTGACTCCCCAGACTGTAATATATATATATAATATTAATTTACAAAGGAAAAAGCAACAAAAATATAAACAATTTCTTGGTTTTATATAAGCATTTCTGCACATTTATAATTTTAATTTTTTTAACTATCTAGTTATATCAAAATACATGATTTAGTAAAATATAATTCAAATAATTTAAGGTATTTTAGATCAAATACTAACTTTTCAATAATTTTTTTCATGCAAGTCTAATAATCAACATAACTATCAAGTTTTGACTTCTTATTAATAAGTCAATTGAAAATTATGTTTAGAGCTGCAGTAATAGTAATAAATTTATTCAAAACTGAAAGTAAAGCATTCTTACTTTATTTCTTTCTTTAACTATGGCAGATCTTTTAAAACAACAAAAACAAACAAAAAAGAATGCATTCATGAAAGGACTTAGGACTTACTTTTATCATGAAGGAAAAAAGTGCATCTACAAAGAATCTTTGAGTTAAAGATTAATCTATTAAAGCAATTTATAAAACTAAATTCAAAAATAAGAATTAAATTATTTTTAGAAAACACTATAATTGTAAATCTGGTTAATTTTATAGTTAGCGTAAATAACTATGCAAATTTTGAGTTCTTAACTGCACCCTTGTACTTTTTTCAGTTAAATGTTTTACTGTTATAAAATAATAAATTTAATTATTATTTAATTATTTTTTTTTCCTCGTATAAATTATTAAATCGCTATTCATTTTTCCCGCTAATTCATGAAAATGTTAACCATCTAAGGAATTTTTCCAATAGGATCTATTTGCTAAGTTTATTTTATTATTATAAATAAATATGTTAGATATCTTTGATTAATAATTAATGCATTTTGGTCCTTAATTGTTCAAGAGTTAAAGATTTAGAAATCTTCTGTCTATTTATTATTCTATTCCTCGACTAATGGCTAGTTTATTCATTTAAATGCCACATTTGTAAATAAATAAGGGTATTGTACCAAATCAGTTAAGTACAAATTTCAATATAAAGTATTCCAGCTTAAATGGGTTAATAGGATTTAATAAAGAAAAAAATGTGAATTTACAAAAGTGTGATATGATACAAACAGTAAAAACAGACTAGTGCAAAATTTTTTCAATTTATTGATTTGGTATTCTATGTCATTAAACAGTACCAAATGCTGAAAATGAATCATTAGGCACGTACACAAAAGATCAACACATGGAAAATCACATGTCCTACACAGACGCTTATTTATAAAATTTTATATAGGTGAAGAAAGTACGACTATTAAACACTGTAAATATAAAATATGTTCACTTACTTTCTTCAAATAATTAGTAACATCGATGGATTCAGTCACAAAAATCCGATGAAACAAACAGTATTCATTGCGACTTTACCATTCTTTTCGACCGCCATTGCTGACTTCGACTTCACAAATATCCCGCCACAACCGGAAGTAGAAAAGTGTCTGCTTTGCCATTGGTCAGTGAACAAGAATTGCAACGCTTTTTTTTTTTTTTTTTTAATTAAACATATTAAGAAAGCCTCTAAATTAGCATATGAAATAAACTTACTTTTGCATTATGTAAATTTATATTCACAGCATCTCTGTATTAAGGTAATAATTCAATTTTTCTACAAAAAATAGAAATGTATGTGTATGCGCATGCTCAGTGTATAATCGTAAAATCCTGGTTAATTTTTATAAGTTAGCGTAAAATTAACTATGCAAATTTTGAGTTCATTTAACTGACCCTTGTACTTATTCTGTAGATCTCCATATTAAGAATGTCTTTAACTGTTTCAGGGAAACTAAAATATAATATATTATTTTTACATTATTTATTTTTTTCCTCATATAAAAATTATTAAAATCGCTATATCATTTTTCCCGTACATTAAACAAAATTTAAAAAATGTTAACCTCATGTGATTTTTATAACAAAGATTAAAGGAACTGAAATATTCCAAAATATCAGGATTCAGCTTGCAATTTCGTAGATTATTATTATTATTATTAAATAAAATAGTATATCTTTGATTATAATTAATGATCCTTTGGTCTACATTAAACTATTGTTCAAGAAGTTAAACATTTTCAAGCATCTTCTGTTCTATTTATTATTCTATTCTCGACATGAAAATTTGCTAGTCTTATTCCAATTTAAATGCCACACATTTGCTAAATAAAATAAGGTGAGTATTGTACCAAACTCAGTAAAGTACACAAATTTAATATACAGCTTATTCCAGTTAAATGGGTAATAGGATTTCATAAAAGAAATTAAATTGTTTAAATTAATGTAAGTGTTGATATGATAAAAATAAACAAATTTGATATAAGAAAATAAATAAGTTATTTTGAAGAAATTATATAATTTTTTCAAAAAAATGCACGTAAGATTAGCTCACTGTTAAAAGTCTAGAAAAATTTTAATAATGCCGCCCCTTTTTTCATGTTCGTGGAAAGGAAAACAAAGAAATGCCAAAAATGCACTAAACATTTTGAATTAATAAACTTCATTTTCAATCTTTTTAGACTTCGTATAATAGCCCGTAAAAGTGACGAATGAAATATATCAAAAAGCAGTAGTTCCGTTTCTTTCACGTTATTTATAATATGCGTAAAAGTGACGAACAAAAAATATACCATTATGGCGGTAGTTTTTTTCAGTACATTCGGATTCATATAATTTTCATAAAAATAATGTGTGGAAAATAACGATCAAGAGTCAACAGTAACTTCAGCCTTTTTCATTCGTATAAATTTCGTAAAAGTAATACACAAAAAATACCATACCCTTATTTCACCAAAATTATACGTATATTTTTGGAGATGTGCTGCCTGGGTAGTAATACAAACTTCTCTAAAATTACTACTGGTCAGTAGTGGTATCAATATGATGCTATAAGGAAGTCGGCCAGATTCTGAACTCACAACATTTAAGTTCACATATACCTTTTGCACCTTCAATCTGTTGAAAAAGTCTCTCAAAGAATGGTGCTCCCAGTCTGAGAATGATAATGGCAACACTTAATAAGTTTAAGCCTAACATATTTGTACTAAATAAATATCAAACAGTTCCCCTTGGTCTCAGAGCACAGCACACTGATCTGTTACACACTGGATTTCAGGTCCCCTTCCCCCCCAAAAAAAACTTTAAATAATTGTCAATCATTATAATGTGAACTACAGAAAAAAAGGTCATTTGGTACCAGGTAATCTAAGAATATAGTGAATGGGGAAAGAAGCTGAAGTGTGGAAAATTTTTGTTGGACTGTTTTAATGCAAAAGCAACACTTTTCTGCTTATGTGTTTTATCTTTATATCTTGTCAACGTTGAGTCAATAGATTAGCATATTAAACATTTTTTTTCATACTTATGTGGCATATAATCATTCACTATTAGTTCCTCCTCAATTCTAAAAAATGGTGTCTAAAATCTGCCTGAAAGATTTATGAGTTGTGAACTTTGGGATCACATAAATCCATTGCGTTTCCATACTATGCTCTATTATTTAGCTTTTGGATCACAATGTTTCATCTCTTGTCACTAATCATGAATAAACATTTTATCAGCCTTCATTATGTGCAGCAGTTCTCAAGAACTATGGAAATTATATTTTGATTTCTAGTGTAACATTCGGGGTACCCATTTTTTTTCATACTTATGTGGCATATAATCATTCACTATTAGTTCCTCCTCAATTCTAAAAAATGGTGTCTAAAATCTGCCTGAAAGATTTATGAGTTGTGAACTTTGGGATCACATAAATCCATTGCGTTTCCATACTATGCTCTATTATTTAGCTTTTGGATCACAATGTTTCATCTCTTATCACTAATCATGAATAAACATTTTATCAGCCTTCATTATGTGCAGCAGTTCTCAAGAACTATGGAAATTATATTTTGATTTCTAGTGTAACATTCGGGGTACCCATTTTGTGTATATCTCCCACATCCCCAACTTTTCATGCAGGAATTATTCCAATGATCAAACATAGATGTGTATTTCCATCGCAATCTCAAAAACTGTCAGCGTGTATTGTCCATTGCATATTCTTTGACATAGCACACACTTCTTCAGTAATTTGTGCAGACAGCCACATTGCAGCCCAATATAGGATTGTCATCAAGTAATGTTCTTCCTTGCCTAAATATGGCAGCATGCTTTTCATAAAGGCATAGGAAAGTGTTGTATTTCCATAAATGGCCCTCACAGATGAAGTCAGCTACATCAACCTCTTTCTCTCCCAGCAGATAGAGAATTCTGTTGTAGGAACTGTACGAAATTGCAGCGAAAACATATGCAAAAGCGCCAAATCTAGCAAACGCAACCATTTAACTGTGCACCAAATCTAGCAAACGTGCCGATTTAGCAGCGCATAAATTTAGATAGCTCTACATCTGCAAGTTGCAGTCAGCACTGAAATAGTGGTTCCCCCCCCCCAGATTCTTTGATAACACTATGGATCTAACAATGTGGAAATTGCCCAATGACGAAAAATCTGTAATATTTTCAGAGAAAAAGCATCATTCATGATAGAAAATTATGTTCGAACACCCACGCAATGAAATTATGCTTTAGTGGTAACTCAACAGTGAAATGATAGTGCAAGAAAGAAATCTAATGAGAAGAAAGGATTAAGAAGTCAAAATTGGTTTGAAGAATCCCCTTCTTTGCAGCCATCATGGTCATCTATTTTTGATGTCAGAAAATGACATCCATTGAATTTTGTGAACTTCAAGTGAAGATGAACCACAATACAACTATAGACTGGAACAGTTGTGCACCGCATGAATGAGGTGTGCACCGCAGCTTTTATTGCCTGGCCTAAGTTGAAAATTGGTGGATGTGGTAAAATGATTAAAAAGGATGAAAGAATAACGTTGGACATGTTCTTCCACCACAATAGATTTTCAGTAGATTGTGCAGAGAATCACATAAATTTCGCAGTTGCTGTTCCAGATCAATCGGCAAACACTATATTGAATGTCATAAGGGAAAATACGCAGAAGGAAGCATTACTTATACTGACTGCTGGAAATCATATCAGTCGGATTAACTGTGAGATGCAAGCTTTGACCATTTGTGGACCCCAAAATTGGGTGTCATACACAAACAATAGAGCAGCTGTGGAGCAGTGCTAAATGGGGTAATAAATACCATCGAGGCACTGTTTGACAGCATTTCGATTTTTTTTTTTTTTGTCCTAGTTTATGTACAGACATTTGCACAAAAAATGAAATTTTCTCTGCAATGTTCGAAGACATCAAAACATTTTATGCCACCCATTTAATTTCATTAATGTTTAGCCTAACATTCTTTTTAATGCCCACGGTATTTGGAACATATATTTTAAAGAAAAATAATTAGGAAGCAATGAAGTTTGAATTACTTAAAAACAATACTCACCTTGATAAACATTAGTAACATTTTTGTTGGCTGAGAACAACATTTCTGCATATTTTGCAACCCACCTTCATCCATACCCAAAACTTCTCCAAGTTTTCTCCACTTGAAATTGGTATCTAATAAGCAACATAATTCCTTTTCCTTGCAAGAATCTACACTTTGACTTCCTGAAAATGTTTCAGAATTATTTCAAATCATAGACTAATTATCTAAATATGATGGAGATATTGAAAATAATCATTCTTACTTTCAATCACATTTTTATTGTCTTCAGTTTTCATTAATTCTTCATTTGTTTGTTTTCTTAATACCTTCAAAATCTAGTAAATAAAATAATCTATTCATTTCCCAAAACAAAATTTAGATTCATTTTTAAAATAAATCCACAGAATATCATAAAAAAATTAAAAATTGTATTTAAAAAATAAAAGGACAAGAAGAATATATATATATATAAAAGACATATTCCACTGCCAAAACATTCATTGAAAATTCATGCATAAAACTTGAAATATTCTAATCTGGCTTTTATTTAGCCTACTTTTTATATATTAATTGACCAAACATTACAGACCCCTCGAATAACATGTTGGTAAATCTCCAGCTCACATTACAGCTATTTTTCTTGTCATGAACACAAAAAAGTAATGACAGCATTCCTGAGAAATATTTAGCCATAGCAGCTCTCAGTCTATTCAGGTTAGATGGTGTCACTTTCACGCTCGGGCAATGTAATACATTGGCTTTAAACTATGAATTGGAAATTTAATATTTTTATTATTTACATACTTGCCAACCTATGACACTCAAAAATCAGGAGATTTTTTTAAGAAATCGGGAGATTTTTCACAATGTTAAAAAAACTTTTTAAATGTTGAAAATATAGTTTTTAATAATGAATTAATTTTAAATAGTAACTAATTCTTAAATGCAAGCAACACAAAAATACCTTACACGTAAAAAACATTTTTATTACATGCATCGTTTAAGAAAACAAAAACAAACACAAAAAAAAAAAAAAAAACCACTTAATCAGTTTTCGTACAAATGTTATAAACAGTGGCAGATTTTGCTTTCTTTAAGAAATAAACATCAGAATTTTGTTCATAGCAATTGCCACGTAGGCCTGCTTTCGCTAATAAAAGTTTTTCTAATGTGTCACCATCAATACTAGATCTAAATTTAGTCCTCGTTTTCGCAACAGCACTGAAAATCCTCTCACACTCTGCATTACTATGGGGAACTGTCAAGATGGCCAACATAATTCTAGACAGTTCACATTCTTTTAAAATTCCATCAGCATCTTTCAGTTTTCCAATTATACTCCACTGGGTGTCAATCTTAGCTGATTTTATAACTTCATCCAAGTTTTCTAATTGTAAACTGCTGTTATGCGGCTGTTGGAACTGTTTCAATTTTTCCTTCCTTTTAGAACTCCTTTCAAGATAATACTAAATATCAACAATATGTTAATCCACATTTATTGGTAAAGAAGCTGCCCTTTTTTTCAGCTGCTTAATTTACGAGGTGACAGGTGCATTTCATAATCTGCAAATCTGAATTTTCCTAAGATGCCTGCAACACCAGTCTTCAAGTCTACCAATACTGGTGCATTATCAGCACCAAGTGCTAAACAATTATCCAGAGGGACTACATTTTCTTTAAAGTTTTAATAATTAGCTGTGCTATATTAAAGCCTGTCAAATGTCCTTCTAAAGTGGGGACAGAAAGTAAACTGCACTCAATTTCTGAAGACTCTGGATTAAAAAAAGAAACAACAGTTGAATACAGTTTTGAATCGGTATTATTGCTTCCATCCATATAGAGGCAGAACGGAGCTGTTTTATTGCAATCAATAACTGAAGATTTATTTTTCAAACCCATTTCTTTAACAATTGCACCTGTTTTGGTTCTTGCACTTGAATATTCCTTAGCGATTTCACTATCAGGAAACATTTTTCTAAACAAAGCAGCAGCGTGATCCGATGCATTCAGTGGCAGGTTGTGCTCCAGTAAAAAGGCAGAGAACAGACATTCTGCATTAATAAGTTTTTGGTCCTCTGTTTCTGAAGAAAAATTTAATTTTCCTTTTTTTTTTTTTTTTTTTTTTTTTTTTCAAAACAACTCATGTTGTCCTTGTGTTTTTGCCCTTAGGCAGTACACATCGCAAATTTATTACATTTCCTTGAGGAAATAATGGAAGGAAAGTCAACTGTGTACGATTTTTGAAACGTATACGAGTATTTCATCTTTCTCACAGACATAATAGATGATAATTTTTAAAACTATTTCCCGAAGGCATGTATACTCACACAACTCAGGACAAAATGACCGAAATAACTAAAGAACATCCAAATAACAGCTTGCTTTGTTCTCATTGGCTAACATATGCCAGATGACACACAGTGGAGCAAGATGCCCATTGGAGAATGACCTTTCTGGATACATATATGCTCTCACTCACAAAGCAGAAATTATCTAATTCGCAAGGTTTTGTTTTAGATATTCAGATGTCCAAAATCACTTTTTTTTCTGTTCATATAACAAAGTATTAAGCCAAGTTCCATAAAAATCGTGAGAAATTTTAAGAATAAGAAAAAGACAGGAGAAATATGTTGTAAATCGGGTTGGCGGGAGAGCGGTCGAAAATCGGGAGAGTTGGCAACTCTGTATTTATAAATACTTTCAATTACTTCAATAATAAAATTTTTGTTCATTCATTTAATAAGGGCTTGAAGTCCAATATGGTGGCGAACTGAACCTTATAAATACATGAGAAGAGGTTTGGAGTTATGGGTGTACACATAAACTGATGGCTGAGCATGCTTAGAGGTTGGTATTGGTCTAAGCGAATGCATGACTGATCAAAGCTGTGAAACATAAAATTCAGAAGGAGGTATGGAATTGGTAACATTCAGCGTATCTAAGGGTAACTTAAGTGTGGTACTGCCAAACAAGTTCGGCACGCATTTATATCGTCTTTAATATAGCAGATCTTATCCAAACATGAGCCATTATTACACTTTTAAGCTGTCTATGAAATTTTTCAATTAGACTGAGCATGGTAAGCAGAACTTTGAATGCAATGTGTATCCAAAAGATTCAAAATTCCAGCCTTTTTCAGTTGTTTTAGATATGTGGTAGCCAAATCTAGCCATCCAATTATGTATTAACACTTTACAAGTAGATTGAGCTGACATGTCAGTAGTAGCTATAACTTCTGGCCATCTGGTAAAGTGGTCAATAATTGTCATGCAATAACTGTTACCTTCAGATGGTGGAGAGGACCTATGAAATCAATACGGATATAAAGAAATAAGAAAAGATAAGAAAATCTTGCATCAGGCAAGAAAAAAGTACCCAAATGTGATTTTGAATGTCTATGAATTTTAGAACATTCACATTTTAGGCAAGACTGAATGGCAGTTTTAACAAATTTCTTCATATTAGGCCAAACATATTGCTTAGTGATTAGTTTCGTTGAAGCTGAAATGATGGCATGAGAAAAACAGTGATTCTGCTGAAATATTTTAGTGCAAAAAAATTCAGGAATGAATAGATGAAGTGTACCTGTGTCTATACTGCAATAAAGAAAAATTATGTTTTTCTAGTTTAAAAACTGGTAAAACTGAGAAAGAGAAATTTGAACTCCTGAAGTTGTGCTTCAGATATATTTTTTATATATATCGGTAATTTTATAATCTATATGCTGTATATCAGAACTGCATCTACTTCTACTCTTGATAAGGTGACAGCAACGATGCTATCACGACGTTTGATGTATCTATATCAGTGGAAAAGTGGCCAATAGGAATCAAGATGACAAAGTTGTCATGGCGAACATTTTTCGGGCTTTAGCTCAAAAGCATAAATGAAGGGCTTTTGCTTAAAAGAATACATTAGGGACTTTTGTGTAGATCGTAAACATGTGCTAAAATTTCTTGATTGACAAATATACAGCCAGTAGTTCGCGATCATAGGTTGACCATTTTCTCTGACTTTTGCCGAGTTTGACGGACAGAATACTGGGTTTCCAAACTGAATCATGCAATTACAATAATGAACTACCAATCGCAATGTCAATTGCATCAGCACCAAGTTTCAAAGCAGCACCAGGAATTGAGTGTCTGAGAAAAATTACTTCAACCACAGCCTTTTTTGCATTGGTGAATGCTTTCTTAGCCTCATCATTCCATTGTAAAAGGTGTTCTTTAATTTTTTTTGGCTCTCAAGGTTTCTTTTCATTAATGTGGCTTCCAATAACCTATTCAAGGAGCTAAAACTTGTGAAGCTCTTTGGTACAAAACATCTGTGAAAGTTAAAAACGTAAAAATATTTTCTGTACTTATGTGTTTGGTTTGGGAAAATTCTGAAAGGCTTCCACTCTGTGGGGTAAAGTTTTTAAAGCTTGTACATGAAAACATGAAAATCCAAAAACTTCAAAGATATTGCACCAAAAACACAGCAGCTACTATATGATACTCGAATTTTACAGAACTGATGTTAAAAATACTGTGGTGTAAGCTAATTGTGTGGGCAGCTATTATGAAGGTGGCAGCACGTGCAGCTGAACATAAGAAAACTTCAAACTACTAAAAATATTAAACACAACATAATGCAAAGTGTACCTGAAAGGTGAAGTTTTCACAGGCATCTCAATACTCCAAAGCCAGCTCTTAACTAACAACTGAAAATTGATGCTCTCTTCGGGTTTATATAGTTTTCCCGAAGCTGCTAAGAACCTTCCATTTCTCAAAATTACCGAAAAGCATATAAAATTACATATAAAGTTGGATACATTTACAGTTGCACATATAGGTCAATTACAATGCCAATTACAACTATAAAGGGACAGGAACAAAATGTCTACCAGCAATTGAGAAGTTTGGCGATTTTTCATCAAATTTGGCGATAAAAATTAGTCCATCACTAGCTTGGCGATATCTCACCAATTTAGCAAGACAGGCATTTGTTTACCTTAACGTTAAATAGACTTGCCCCTGTAATCTTGTTTTTCCAGCAGAACTCCACTTATTGAAGCATTTCATGTTACATTATCCAAACGATATTGAGATTTCACTAAAATTATATACATACATAAAAAATATGCATAATTTCAGAAAATTTAACCAGAAACAATTACTAAAAATGTTAGTAATTTTAAGTTAAAAGCTAAAATATAGAACCTACTTCTAATCCTCTGTACAAATCTTCAGCAGGGTACTTAATTATTGTGTCCACACAGCCTTCATTTTCAACTCCATTTAATTTTACATATGCTAACTGAAGCGGTGTTATTCCTCTAAAGTCTTCAGCATTCACATCAATTTCAGGCTGTTAAAAGGCATCAATTTCAGGCTGCTTTTCACATTTAAAATGCACGATAGAAATTTCAAATAGCAAATTTATTCACATTAAATTTAAAGAACAGTACAGATAGAAAATTTTGTAAAAAAAGGCTTGATGCAATAAAAAGGCTAGGAATCCCTCCCTGATCTAGACTCAAACTTTTTTTAAAACTTCCTTCACTTGTTTTTCTTTTAAAGGCTTTTAAATTTAAACTGCTCTTAATTTACCAATTTTTTCAATGATTGGAATTATACTTAAGAAGAAGTGGGCAAGATGCCACAATTTCACCAATAGTTGTACAGTCTTACTGAACTAGCAGAACATCCTCATCCCAGTCTTCAAGGAGGTAGGGCTGAGGATCTCCCACCTCTCTTTTTCTACCACTAATTTTCTCAAGAAGATTTTTGGCTTATGGGTATTTTAAGTGTATGATGTCGTGCAGAAACTACACATTTATAAACATTCAACCCTCTTATAGGATTTGAACCTGCAAGCAAAAGAGATACTGTATATTTCCAAATAGTATAAGCCGATCCATATATAAACTGAGTGTGTGGTTTTCTCTTCAAAAATTTACCCAAAGTTCAAAACACGTATATATAAGGCTAAATGGAGGGGGGGGGGAATCCTTAACATTCAAACCTGTCGGCATGAAGTCGAAAATGTTGCCAAGCAGGTAAAATGGGTTGAAAATTTTTCAATCAAATCACTGTTTTAACTCTAGGAACCCTATCTGATGTTAGCACATTTATTCAATTTGTTTGCTGTCTTGCATGCAATCTGTCGTATCTGTGCTAGCATTATTTTCTCTATCATTTTAATTTTTTGTCTGAAAGTTGAGCAGGAAGAGAAATTCTTATACTTCAGATTTAAAATTACAGAAAAATGTATAACAATGTAAAAATTATAACAGTATGGCTGTTTGGCATTTCTCCATAATTAAAAAAACAAGTTTGAAAATAAAGAAAGCTGGGTGCAAATTTTGCTAACATCAGATTTTTTGTTTTGGCAACTATGCAACAAACTAGCACTATAAACAATTACGGAAATAAAACAACTCATTTTCATAAGATGAATAACTCATTTTCTTTTAAATTACTTTTTTTCAAAAACTAAAGAAATAAAAAATCGCAATATTTAGTGATTTATCTCTTGCACCCAGATAGCAGATAAGTACCAATGGATTTTGCAATAGCACTAAGTGTAATCTTTTGGCCTATGAGTATCATTAACAAAATCCACTTTTAGCATATGGAAAGAAATTTTTGCTAAATTTTTCCTCTGTTTCACAGGGGAATAGTGTACACACCTGGGTACCTGGGACGAAGGCCCTACCTCTAGCGAAGAAAATTTAAAAATTACTAATTATGTGAGCATTAACACAAAGAAAATTTCTAAATAATAATAAAAAAAAAATTGAGCTATACAAAGAGATTTAAGTAACAAATTACATAATAAATTTTGTCACAAATAACTTTAAGGTATATCGTTATATTATAATAAAAAGGTAATAAAGTTAAGCAATTAACTTATTAATAACAAGTTAATATAAGATAAGAATTTAAAAGGTGTAGTGAAACAGAGTTGACTAATGGGGTAAGCATCTGATACAAGCTTTTCGAGACGGTTACAAATATCCTGAAAGAGAGACATACAGCAATTGGAACAATACACAAGAAGTAGGTGTAACTCCTTCGGTGAAAAATTTAAAAGGGGAAAACAATAAAAATTCAGGTAAACAATGGATAAGTTTGAGCAATCTGAAATATTAAATTGACACTGGTCCTGTCAAACAAAATACAAAATATGTACATACGTAAGAGGAGATATATATATATAAAACAATACACACAGTTTTCAATATATAATACAAATGCTGGATAATAATGCAGGTAACAATAAGAAAACATCAACCAGTATTTACATTAAGTATGGCTATAGCGCGTTTGCAGTTAGCAGGATCATTAATGTCATAATTACATATTTTAATGGCAGGGTTTTGAATAATTTTTCAGATTTTGAAAAACATTCCTTGCTAATTTACAATAAAAGCTGGTTTATTTTCAGCTCAAAATGGATAGTTATTATGAATGTATCCTGGTGAGTTTGAAATTTGATGTAATATAGAATTTTGGGATGTTTGGAGCCGCTTTCTATCCGATTCACAAGAATATGCACATACTGGGCAGGCATAACAGATCATGGGACGCAATACGAATTTGTAAATGAATAACTTGTTGTCTATAGATAAAATGCTGTTTCGAGCAATTCAAGGGAATAGTGTTTGCTTTACGAGCTCAAAACTTCTGTAAGAGAGATGATATATGTAGGGTCCATATGACCTCACACATAACAGGACCCCACACATAACATGAGAGAATTACTGAGGATCACCCCAAGATAAGGGACCTTCTTAGCCCAGGGGATAGATACTTCATAGAAATGCAAGTTTTTATCAATTTTCTTTTTCTTGTTAAACTGCAAAAATGGAAAGTTCTTGTCCACATTAACAAGAACTTTCCATTTTTGCAGCCAAATCTCAAGTATGTTTATGTGATCTTGTAAACGTTGTATGACTGATCCAACAAATGCACATTGCGTCAGGATCGCTGTGTCATCAGCGTACATTGCAAGTGTTGTGTTGGGTGTTGTAGAAATGCCATTCACATAAATATTAAAAACTGTGGGTGTCATGAGGGACCCCTGGGCTACGCCTGCTAATATGGGAAGTTGTGTAGAATACAAGCCCAAAACATGAATGATGAAGTGACTACCGGTCAGATAGGATTGAATTATGTTTGTGATGTAATCTGGGAAACCCAGATTGTGTATTTTGTAAAGGAGTGCTTCCAGCCATACGCGATCAAAAGCCTTGGAAATATCTAAGAAAATTCCACCTGTGATCTTGTTTTTTATTCCCTCAGTAATCGTTTCAACAACTCTGTACAGTTGCTTTGTTGTGCCTAGATTCTTTCGGAATCCAAACTGGAAAGGGATGAGGATATTATTATCTTCCAGATGCTTGTTCACTCTTTGATGAGTGACTGCTTCAGTAATTTTGCTTAGGCATGGCAGGAGGCTGATGGACCTGTAAGAATCTGGTTTGTTTGATGGTTTTTCTGGCTTTAAGATTGGGGTTATTGTAGCAAGCTTGAGGAAAATATTGCCATTTTAGAATCAGGTTAATGATTTTGACGAAGATGAACACAGTCTTTTTGGGGGGGGAATTTTTGAATCAAATGGTTTGAGATCTTGTCGTGCCCTGGGGCTTTTTTCTTCTTGAGTCGTTGGATGTATTCAAGGACTTCTGATGGCATGACTGGGGGTATGTTGTTCGTGCATGGATTGGGAGAGTATGTTGTTCATGCGTGGATTGGGAGAGTATGTTGTTCGTGCGTGGATTGTAGTGATAATGTTTTCTGTTGTGTCATGTATGTTGTGAAGTTGAAACTGAGATTCCAGATACTGAGCAATAAGTTCAGCTTTCTCAGTTTTAGTGTAATGGATCCTATTGGGGCATTTAAGAGGTGGAATGTTGTTGTAGCATTTTATTATACCTTTTGAGAGCTTTCCACAGTGAATCAACATCCGTGGTGTATTTGGACCAGATGGGTTGTGCTTTCCCTGTCAACATTTCTTAGCACATTTAACTTAAATATGTAATCATCACCAAGCATAATGTCAACATAAAAGGTTACCATTCCATTTTTCAATTACTAATACAAAATATTATTTTTTTTTTTTTTTTTTTTTTTTTTTTTTTTTAAGGTATTGCTCCATGAGTCACTCAGGTTGTCATGTGTTTATAAACATGCAGTGATGAAAGAAAGTCTAAGAAGGTCCCTTATCTTGGGGTGATCCTCAGTAATTCTCTCATGTTATGTGTGAAAGCAAAATATAATAAATAATAATTTGCCAGGCTGGCATCAGGAGTACACAGTATTAATAGGTGTAAAATCAATGACGTATCTGTAGAATGTTGGTTAGAGATGTATACGAAGCCAAATTATTGATCGTAAAAATTTATGCTAAAATGAGTGTTTCTGCAATAATGAGGTACTTTATTTAGTGCCAAAGTAAAATTAAGAATCAGAGTTCTCCACATGTTTTATTATGCATGGGGGGAGGGATCAAATGCATATGCGCAACACAAAATATATATATAATAAAATAGTAAAAAAAAACATTGGTAGTTGCCTTGAGGTCTGGATTTTAGATCATTCTGGATTTTAGATCATTCTGGATACTGGATATCCGGATCTCGGACTTTGTACTGTATTTTTGTGATTTACACACATACACAGATGTTTATTTTGGAACCACAGATTTGACAAGGGCACATTTTAGAAACACTAATGAAAAGCAATTAAATACTGTGTACAACCATGTTCATCTTTTACTCTTGTTAGTTTTTACTTACCAGTTTTTTCTTAACTGTGCCTTTTTTAAAAACAGACAAAAAGAAAGCTAAACGTGTTTAGAAAGTGTTTGGTTTCACAGTCTATATAAACTGAAGTTAAATTTCTTGATTTTATTTTAATTGAAATATACATAGCTTCTGTGCATCATAAGACACAATTTTATTATTCAGTATAATTTATTATTGAAATAAGTAGATTTTAGATTTTGTTGAAACAAACTAAAAATTTCATTCTTTTTGACTGTATAATATTTTTTGAATAAAATATGATAACAAAATACCCTCACTTGCATCAAAGTGAAAGGAATTTAATCTACAAAATAATAATAATAATAATAATAATAATAATAATAATAATAATAATAATCCTAGTTATCTATTTTTCCAACCATTAGGACAGGTTGCAATCACAGTTAGTTCAGATAATTGAAGTTCAATTGCAGATTCTTTGCGGACAGTTTCGTTTAGTAAGAAATACCACTGTCCTTTCCATTTAAAATAACATTATTTTAAAGTTATGACATAAACAAAGATTCAGAAGCTTATACAGTAGTGACAAATTTTCCAAAATCTCTACACTCAGCTGTATAGTATACGATAATAAAATTTCATTAGTACGCAATGAGTGATGGTGTAGCAGCGGGGTGCCTGGGTCAAAAGATCCTATCCCCAATCGAAATTATGCTAATTCGAACATACTGCAAAATAAAAATATGCCCAAGAAATCTAATTTATTTATATATATATAATTCCCCCCCCTACAAATTATTTATGGGCTTAATAAGTGAGTTAGGATGATTAGTAATAACCGATGAGAGTGTACAAGTCCGTGAAGAAAATGCCTCCAGAAAAGCTACCAGTGGGAAACAGAAATAGCAGTACATGGTAATTATCAGGCAAAAATTTTATAAATGCAAGACCAGTTAAAAGAAAATATGAATACAATCATAGAATAATTTACATAAACAGGTTAGAAGTTAGAAGTAAAGTAACACACAATACAAAAACATGCCATACAGAAGGTAACCAAGGTATAGTTGAATTTAGTCAATAGTGCCACTAAGAATGGCCATAGGCCTTTTGATGTTACATTGATCATTTACGTTGTAATCGTAAATTTTAATTGTAGGATTATTAATGGACTCCAGATCTTCATGGAATTTCTTAGCAAGGTGATAGTAAAAGGTTCTAATATGGTCGATTTTCAGTTCAGTAGGCAGTCTGTGATTTCAAACATACCAGGGGAAATTAGTGATTTGTCTCAAAACCCAGTTCTGCGTGGTTTGCATTCCTTAAGGATCTACTAGAATAAGCCCACACAGGGCAAGCATAACACAATATTGGACGTTTCATTAGTAGATTAGCAGCTCTGGGCAATGCACAAATAAAATTGACTCACCTTTTTTAGCAAAAGCTGAATGACACTTATTTGGGTCTGAACAGCCATGTGAAGAGGTGTCTGACCACCTTTCTTTTCAATGATATTCACGTTTGCTCCGGCTTGCAGTAATAAATCCACACATTTTAGGGATTCATTCATCACTGCAACATGCAAGGGAGCCAGACCTATGACGGAAAATGATTTCAAAATAATTAATTTTTATTCTAATATTTTTTCGAATGTGAAATTCCAAGTTATTGTGGTATTTATTAAGATTATTTTTATTTATAATGTGAAGTTCAAAAAAAGAGACAGAGAAGAAGAAAAATGAAAAAATTTTAAACGATTCAGATTTCAACATCAAACTAGAAGTTTGTTAAGGTTTTTTATGCTCTAACTGAGCTTACAGTTTACAAATCTGCTCTTGGACTCATTTCAGTTAATGCAACTTTTTTTGTCTCTTTTTTAATTTTATGATTAACCATAACATTTTTCATCCTTATGCGACATAAAATTCAATAATAAAATCAGAAATCTTTTATAAGCAGCATATTTTTAGAATTCTTGATAGAGTGTTAAGTGTTGCTTTATATTTTTCTATTTTTTCAGTCTTTTCTCAGTTCATCACATCAGTGTTCAGTTTCTCTTAACAAGATCATCTACGTAACTTTTTTATCTTTTTACCTTTATTATTAAACATCACTTTCTTCACATTTACATGATATAAAATTTTTTTAAAAAATTTAAAGTAGTATATGTTTAAAATTTCCAGTATAGTGTTAGATAATTGCTGCACATTTTCCTAATTTTTTCAGCCTTTTCGCAATTTGACATGTCAGCGTTCAATTTTCTTAAAAAGAAGATACAGATAATTTTTTTTGTCCTTTTTAACTTTATTATTACACATCACTTTCTTCCCACTTATGTAACATAAAATTTAAAAGTAAAAGCAGTGCATGTTTAAAATTCCTAGTACATTGTTAAATGCTGTCATCATTTTTTTTTAGTTTTTTCCCTCAGTTATCATATTAATGTTTAGTTTTCTTAATGAGATGACAGCTTTTTTTTTTTTTTTTTTTTTTTTTTTTGTGTGTGTGTGTGTGTGTGTGTGTGTGTGTGTGTGTGTGTGTGTGTGTGTGTGTTCACTTTTTGCTTTTTAACTTTATTTAAGTAACACCAATTTGCCAAATAAAATTCTGCAAAATCACAAAATATTTAAAATACTGGATGTTTAAATATTGCCATACCTTTTTTTATACTCCCTACATCATTTCTTTAAAAATAGTACATGGTGATAACATTTAGCAACAACATCCGTGTGAACGATCAAACTCCTTTTAATCCAGAGGATGTGTCTAAAACAGCTGTGACCACCCTATTTGGATTATTTGAGTTTCTTAAAATGCGGTCTGGTTTAGGAAATGCAGGTCAAACATATAAACATATAGATTTATTCATCAAGTACTTTCTGGTTTAGATTGCTGTAGTTCCTACTTCCATGATCTACTTGTAGCTGCAGCAGATGAAAATGAGCATGCAAAGCACCTTCGTTTGAATTTTGATAGACTGAGGAACTGGGTTAAACCTAAATACTGCTAAATGTGTTCTTGGAAAATCATCCATATAATTGCTTCGTTGTTTAATTACCCCTTCTTGAAAAATTCCTGCAGTTCTCTAAACCTGTAACAATGTCCAAACTAAAGACATTTTTGGCAATGTTGAATTTTTATTAAGAATTTTCGCATAATGTCGCAACTACTCAGGCACCGCTTCATTCTCTTTTGAAAGATTCTAAGAAAAATTATAAATGCCCTATTCTCTGGACAGCAGAAATAACTACGCCTTTGAAAAATGTAAAACTGGCCTAGCAAATACAGTGACACTTACTGTAATTTCCGGAAGAAACACTGCAGCATTTAAGTGTTTAAAACTTAAATTTTCAGCGGGTGCGGTGTTTCTACCAGTGCGGCGTTTAGGTGCACTAAAAATAAAATATTTCCTATGATGGTCATTGTACATAGTTTGAATAACTTTGTCATTGTACATAGTTTGGATGGCCTTGTCACTGTACATAGACTGGTGCTGTTTCCACACAAAAGACCACTCAGTTGCTTTTTGCAAATGTTTATTTTGTTTACATTCTTTCCCTTGAACAGACCTACATGCCTTATTCACCCTAAACGGGATCTCAGAACAATAACATTCTTCCCCCTTTTCAAATCAGCATTCTCATCATTTTGAATAATCTCTCTCCTCTGCCATTCGATGAATCTTCCAGGACCCATCCTCTCCCCACCCCTGCCTTTTCTGCAATTTTTTTCAAAGGCGGACACGACTCCACCTGCCTCGCAATAACGAACTCTGACATATTTCCCCTTCAGCATGAATCGATTTTTCTTGGCATTCTGCCAGATACAGATCCCATCAGTTTGGGTACAAGTAGTTGTTGGATAGTTTTTGAATAAGAAGGGAGTGGAAAATTTTTGAAAATGGCACAGAAGCCATACTGCTGGTTTTAAGCTTAATGTAATTTCACGTGCTGAACAAATTGGAAATCGAGCAACAGCTCGAGAGTTTGAAGTGGACGAAAGATGTATTCGACATTTGAGAAATGAAAAAGAACTTCTTAAAAATATGCCACAATAGAAACAAGCCAAAAGAAGTGGTACTGTAAGGGGGCCGAATTTAGAGGACGACCTTGCAAACTGGATAAAGGAGCAACGAGAAAAGGGAATGACAATTTCGAATGTAAAAATTCGCTTGCAAGCAAAATTTATAGCAAAACGAATGAATTGTGCAAACGAGAACGGCTGGATGTGCGAAACAATCATGCACGAGTGGCTACAAAAGTGCATGAGTGGCAGTGTCACAAGGGATCTTTTTTCCAACCAAAAGGGTATTTGATAATGGATTCCATGCGTGCTCATTTACTTGAGTCAGTAAAAACCAAATGTCAAAAATTGTCTATGACTGTAGCAATAATTCCTGGCGGTTTGACAAAAAACTTACAACCATTAGATTTGTCAGGTAATAAATCCTTCAAAGGTGAAGTTCGAAAGCGGTGTGAGTGTTGGATGAGTGAAGGATTGCATACGTATACCAAAAGCGGTAAAATGCGTAGAGCATCTTATGAAGAAGTTGCAAAGTGTGTAGGAAGTGTGTGGAATTCGGTAAAAACATCGTCAATAATAGCAGGGTTCAAAGAAGCTGAAATTAAATACTTAGATAAAGAGACTGTAAGCCAAGAGGATGAATCTGACGATCTGGAAAACTTGGACTTAGATCAGGATTTACTAACTCTTTTTTAATTCAGATAGTGAAGAATCAGATTTTGATGGCTTCATATGATGTATAGGTAGGTTGCTTTAATTCCTTTTGTAAGTAAAATTTAAAATTTCCTTTTGTCATCCAAATTTAATATTTCGTTGTTGCAACATTTTTTATAATACAGTCTGAGTATTACAAATATGGACTTCTGTAGTGGGTAAATAGAAGTATATTCATGAACGTAAATATATTTTCAACATTTCTTACCTTTAATTTATTTTTGAGTTATGGTTTTATTTCATGCACTTTTCTTAACTGATATGTCATATAGCAGGACACATGTTGAGATTTTGCATCTATACGGCCCACGACGATGTCACGCGCAATTTAATCTATTGCGGCGTTTCAGTGCAATTTTAATTTTTTTTCCCGCCATTTTTCTCGAGTGCGCTGTTTATGCTGATGCGGCCTTTCTTCCAGAAATTACGGTAGTTACCATGCCCCTAGTCAACGGTTGTCATTAATGGTTGATGCCCCAGATGTGACTATTGGAGCTGTTTTGCATTTGCTACGCCACCAACATCTTCAACCATGAGCCATTTTTTTTCCATAAATTAACTCCAACTGAAACTAAGTATAGCACATATGGTAGAGAATTACTCGTTATCTATTGTGCTGTAAAGCATTTTCAACATAATCTCGAGGGACAGCATTTTACAATATACACAGATCATTGCCCTCTAACAGTTTCATTTAGTAAAAATTCAGCTTCTGCAACCCCTGGTAGATAAGACATATGAATTATATTGTCCAATTCAGTACTGATACACAACACATTCCTGGTTTAGAAAATATGATGGCAGATGGGTTGCACAAATTACTGTTATCAGTAAGCTAGATATAACAAGTTTTGCAAAGATTGCTGAGTTGCAACAGAATGATTCAGAGCTGAGTCAATTACTGTCTATAGAAAGTAGCTCATTAAAACTACAAAAGATGAAGCTTTCGCCTGGTCTAAATAACACATCGTTCAATAAGTCCCGGGACTAACTAAGAAAAGAACATCCATTTAAAAAAAATTCATGTTTATTCATCAACATAATCACCATGAAGAGCTATGCAATCATTCCAAGGCTTTTTTAACATTTTGATGACATGCTTGTTAAAAGTTTGTCCTTGTCCGCAAAATAATAAGCTTCAGTGGCAGTGATGCCTTCCTTATTTAAGCCAAATCTTTTCGCCTGGAGCATCTTTTTGAGATCAGCAAACAGCCAGTAATCACTGGGAGCTGGATCTGGGGAGTATAGCGGGTGGGGAAGCAGAGTGAAGCCCAACTCGTTCAATGTAACCAATGTTTGCATTGACTTGTGGTGGCACGAGGCATTGTCTTGACTGAAGATGATTTTTTTCTTCAGGTGCGGTCGTTTTTTTTTTTTTTTTTTTTTTTTTTTTTTTTTTTTTTTCCCCTTCGATTTTGTCCTTTAGACGCATCAATAACTCACTGTAATAGGCACTATCGAGAGATTTTTCCCTTTTCAGCGTGACTTTGCCAGCTGACTGCTGCATTTTTGGACGCTTCAGATGACTTTCACTGGCTGCACGTGACTCAGCTGACTGCTGCTTTGACTCCAGAGTGAAATAGTGGATCCATGTTTCATCCATTGTCACATATCGACGCTAGAAATCCTGTTTATTGCGAGACAACAGTGACAAACAACTCTGTGAATCATCGGCTTGTTGTTGCTTTTGTTCCATTGTGAGCACACGCAGCACCCATTTGGGAAACACTTTTTCATTCCCAACTTTTCATGTAAAATCATACATCCAGTTGATATGTTTACCATCTCATCAATCTCACAAACTTTCATTTTGCGGTCATTCATCACGATTTTCAACACTTGTTTCACATTTTCCGGAG